AAAAGAAGAATTAACGCATACACGTATGCTGAAGCCTTATACATATCCATGGAAAATGTTATACTTTTAATATATCCCATATATTTTATATAGTATAATATTTTCCTTAATAATACGAGAGCCGTAATTTCCATCATAAAATCTCGGATTTCAAACTGTAAACTTCTTTACGGCCAAAAAACCAGTCTATTCAAGCGCCCCAAAATTCTCTTAAACCCTTATATATAGCGATGTAGAAAGAAAAAAAAACTCATGAAAAATTCAGATTTCTCTCCGAATACATAAAGTTTCGGTATTGAAAGGGCTAAAATGTTGCTACGCGAAAAGCCCGACGTTACAACGAAAGGGCGAAATCGCGTCGCATCGCGACGCTATCGCAATCGCCCTCCGTGCTGCAAAGTCGTCTGTCTTCCGCGCGCGCGAGCGCGAGTGCCTTATTATGCTCGTCCGAGGTTAACGCCTTTCTTACCCGCGCACGTAAGCCTCAGGTCAGGAAGCATTAGATGCGCTTTAGCAGACGTGAGCTCGTCGCCGTCGTCGCCGCTGCTCGGAATAAAGCTCGCAAATGGACGAAAAAAGTGGTCGCGCGATAACGCGCTCCTTTCCCGTCGAGGTGTATTCACTGCCCTCTCTCCGGTGCAACCACTCACCCCCGGTCATCTCTCTCTCTCTCTCTCTCTCTTTCTCTGTCTCTCTCTTTCTCTCCGTCAACCCCTCACGACTCGTCTCATTTCCATACCGCCGTCACATTAGGCTGCTGGCATTTCCATTTCCATGAAACGTGGTTTCCCGGTCGTCGTTGTCTGTACGAGGTTGCTAACGGCGGACGACGCGACGTTGAATAAAGATTGCGCCTATGCGCAATCAACGACGTTGTTTGAATCTTATGCCATTGTGCTTCCCATTCTCGCGATGTTCGTTGGAGCACGGATGGAAAAAATCTACGCGACTAGAGATGCGCGACGGCCAAAATATATACGTTCATATCTCTCCGTAGTCGACTCGATGTCGGTGAAAAACGAAACATAAATTCGATGTTCCATGAGATGTGAGAGCTTGCTGCTGAGAATTTATTGGCGATGTGAATCAAAACTAGCTGAGAGTTCCTATAAATTTTCCACACTTTACAAAATTTCTCGAAATTATTCAAAGTTTCCATTTCATCAATTCAGTATCTTCTCCTTTCTGAGCACTTCATAAGAAACGCGTATTAAAGAAATGAGAATTTTTATCAACATGTAATGATAATATTAATGTAAAATATAAATTAACGCAATGGCAACATATTTTTCTCTGAATTTTCTCTTTAAAATATTACTGATTAAAATCATTTCGGGAGATTAATCTAAACGAAACATAATTTGTGAGATTGAAGCGGCGTTAAAGCGACAGAAATGAATGCATTCGAGAAGAATGAAACGATGACAGAAAGATCAAAGATGCATCTTCGAGATTATGACAGACGCGCGAAAGATTAAGATTTTCTTGCGTTGAGTTTATTTTTGAGAAGTGGCCTGGGAACGAAGAAGCGAGTTGTTGAAAGCGGCGGGCATTATGTCCGCGAGAGAGAAGAGATGGACGTTACTTTCGTATCTCTTTTCATTTCCCATTCCCCTATCGACATTCTGTTCATCTCGGGAATACAGCCACCCCGGCGAAGAAAACTCGTCTTATCTTGCGAAGAAGACCGTCCTTTTTTTCCCGCCGTCTTGGCAAACGCGCGAATTTCGCGTTTATGGACCATCAGAAAAAGAGGAGCACAATGCACATTGTGCATTGTCAATGTATCAAAGATTTGCACCGTCGTCAGCTACGTCAAAACGGATGCTAGCCTCCTCCGAGCTAGGGGGGGAGGGGGGCACTGTCCTCGCTTAACGTTACTAAAAGTGCATTGATGTCAGCCTGTCAGCCAAATACAAGACCGTTTCCCCTGTTTCCTACGATTGAGTGTAAATCCTATTCTTCGTAACAACTTTGCTACCGTGTCAATTTTTCAACGAGTTGCAGGTCGTGTGTATGTATGTGTGTGTTTTTTTACGCAGACAATGATTCTATATTCCTGATGCAATTTCTTGCATACTTTATTCTCCCGCTTCATTTTCTCGTATTTAACATTGAACGTTTTTCGGTTTTCCAATAAAGTGAATTAAGAGAGAATCGATTCTTTTTCTCGTTGTTCTTATAAAATAAGATTTTATTTGCATTTACGCACAATTATACTTCGAATCGAAAATGGTGATTTTTCTAAAGACACCGTTTTATAGTAAACATATTTGTACGTTTACAGCCAAAAGCGTAAGATCTGCGAGGTGTTTATTCTTCTCCGGTTTTTTCTCCCAACGCTTTCGTCAACGGCGTACTATTTTCTTAAATCACAAAGGCATATTTTTACAATAATATTTCTGAGTTTTATTTCTACTAAAAGCTTTATTCTTCGTTAGAAATATTATGTGAAGATTGCATTGTACTTTTTTATAGAATAATACTTTTATGTTGTAAATATTATAGTATTGTAAATATTTATCGTGTATTATATTTAATCAATGTTGTATGATCCGCGTTGTTTGTTTTCTCTGCTTCTGTTTTTCTTGGCGATCACGGCTAAAAGCTTCAGGGATCAATGATCTCTTATTCTCTCCGTAGAACAATCTATAAGAAGATATTCTCTCTTCTCTTATATAAAAAATATTTTCAAGATGCTATTATTGGATGCTGTTTAAAAGCTTGCAAGATTATCACTTTTTTATATCGATAAGAATTCACCTGTGTATTTATCTCTATAAAATGCTACTTCATTAGAAGCCCATTTATATTACATGTAATCAATATTAATTATTTTAACTATATTATTAATATTAATTATTTTTTGCTCGCGATAGAGTCATTCGATGCGTCTTGCAGAAATTCATATTCCATATGATTTAACTCAGTGGACTAACAATAAGAGGTATCCTCTTTGTTTTTTTTCTGCACGTGTCACAGAATACGCGTGATTAGGTACCCTGAAATAAGCGCAATCGAGCGTGATCCACGAGACGAGTACGACATCGTGCGTGAGCCATTGAATGGATAATGTCGCCCCTTCGCGCGCGCGAGAGAAAAAGAGAGACAGAAGGAGAAGAGAAGAGAGAGAGAAAACACGACCTCTTCTTTCCCTCAGGGTTTCTCGTCGAGTTTTCGGTACATCTGCTAAGCGCATTACGGGATAAAGGGGAGTTTCCCGTCTTACCGATGCTCGCCGGAAAAGGTGTCCGCTCTGCGAGGGATTTCTTCATCACCCTTGCGTCTCAATCGCATTACACATCACAGACCATACGACGCTAGATATACGATTAACAGCTTGTTTTATGACATATCACTATAGATTCGCGCGAGTGGTTTTTCTTGTTCTTCAGAATTTTCTTTGAACATCGAGAGAAATGAGATTTTTCCTTCGTCGCTAATGTTGCTACATATGTTAGTCTCCTCCAAAAAGATATCTCGTTTTTAATAATTCTTGATAATGGAATTGATATAGACTAGTAGAATGTTTATAGAAAATCGAAAATATATTGCTTATTAGGAAAATGTCTTATTAAGAAATTTTTTTCATCATATTTTTTTCTTCTTTGTGTTATATGCATCACGAAATCTAGAAAAAAACATTCTTTAAAATAGCTATGAGAAACCAGATATATAATGATAAATAAAAAATCCTACTCTGCGTCATTTTTCGAAACGTGACAGAATATTCGGAATACCCATTTCGTCGCTAGGTGGTAAAGAACTGCGAAAAACGGCGTTTCCTGGCGGCAGTACGCGTGATAAAACGCACAATATTTTCCTATCACGCGAACGCGGTTGGCCGGAATAAATTAAGCGTCCTCGCAAATTTTCGGAAATGCCGGCGGAGGGTCGCGCACGACCCTCTATAATGAAGAGCTACAGCGACATTAACATTCTACATTGCTGGAGAGAGAAAGGCGGTCGTCGTGAATGTTGCTCGCTTATGTTTCACGCGGTTAGCTGTATCCGGATGGTGGCGAGCGAAAAACGCGCGGCTCAACTGTGAATAATCACCGCGCGAATCCCCTGCGATTTATACCTCGTTTCGTATTCCCGCCGACTCTTGCGACGAGCAAGTCCATTCAAGTTTGATAAGTAACTAGGGTCGTCGTGGGAACTTGCTCTGCCTTCATTTTAACACCGTGAAAAGCATTAAACAACGAGAGGATATTTGTGCAAAACGTTCGCATAAGAAGATTTGAAGCATGTGAGGAGAAAATGCTTCAATTAATTGTAAGAGAAAATATATACAGATAAGAAAAGCAAATGAAATCATTTTCGTCTTTGAAGGAGATTTGAAGCATGTGAGGAGAAAATGCTCGTTTCTTCTATCGAAACTTCAATTAATTGTAAGAGAAAATATATACAGATAAGAAAAGCAAATGAAATCATTTTCGTCTTTGAAGGTAAAACTTGAGTTTCCAAAAATTTTAATGACAAGAAATATTCTTCTATCGGAGCTGTATTCCACAATTCTCCATTTAAATCTCGAGCGTACATTATACACAGAATTTACTGCTATATATATATATATATATATTTCCCTTTCGTATAGTCAAAGTCACCCTTAAAAGCTAAAGTAACTTCAATTTCCGACAAAACTTGACGTATGTAGCTTCGCGTAATCGTTCGTTTGAGCTCAGAAATGCAGTTCTGTGCGTATAAGATTCGCGCTCCGATCGCAGAGCGGAAATCACCAAGGGAGAAAATCGTAGAAACGAGCTCGAGATGGAAAGAAGACATCCAGTTGCGACGCGATTTAACTTTCAAAATTGTTAAACCATATCGCGCATAATGATTCGAAGTCTCCCGACTATGGAGAGAAACTTCGCTCAGCTTTGATAAGTAACTATCGACATGCCGGCAAAATTCTCCTTCTCCTCTCAAGACGAGTGAGAGGGAAAAGCTATATAACGAGAGGGTGGCAGACGTGTTCACGTAAAGGACATACTCACCGTTGAGAACGTGGACCGCGACGGTGGTCTTGGCTTTGCCAGGCACCACGCAGCTATAGTTCCCGGCGTGCCTTGGACTGGCCCTCTCCACGATGAGAGTACTGACAATCACGAGGACCTCCTTGCCCGCCGAGATCTCCGTCGTTCTGTTCTCGCTGAAAACGAGATCGAGACGTGAGTTTCTCTCCAGTTTACATATCGTGACCGAAACTCTACGCATATGTATAGGATGTCTTTGTGTATTCTCCTTTGACCAATCTGGAGTGGAATTTTCCGTAGCATAAAAATTCGATTCGATCTTATCTTATTTCGAAGCTTAAAACAAAACCTTAAATATTTTTCTCATGAATCCTTGAATTAAAATTTTGTTAAACATTTTTTATAAATTTTGAAACTTTGAACTCAAATTAAAATTATATTGGTCTCCTTAGCTTTAATTAAGCTTCAAGTTGTATATAAGGTTCTACTTAAATTTAAAAATTTTGTATTTCAAATTAAATAAAGATTAATATTTTAATATTTTTTCTTGCACTTCTAAGTTTAATTTCTGGTAATTTTTAATCGCTTCCTTGCTTACAAAAAATCAACTTCCATCGGTAAATGGAAAGAAATGCGAGAAACCTGAGACACCCTATACATTCACGTTATCGAGTGGTTAGGAAGAAGAGAAAGGGAAGTGATTTCGCCGAGTGGACGTAGAATGCTGTTGGAGAAATTCCTCTCTAGTCTCGCGTATGTCAATCTCGACCAGGCCTTGTCTGCCGATTTAATTAAGAAGCTCGTTTCGGAGCTGGAGGGCGAATTTATCGCGAGCGAGTACATTATTTGAATTTCGTATATTTTACGAATAGATAACGAAATAAGAGATACAGACTTTCTATTCGTTTTCTTTCGTGAGATCGGAATGACAATTGGTTCACTTCGTCCAGTTCACATTTTTCATTGAAAATCCTATTTAATCTATCTAACAATGAGTCTACAGAACAGAAATAAATAATATCTCAGAATAAAAATATGTAAAATAAACCTTTTTTTACATTGCAAGCGACAAATAAAACAAGTAAATTATTTGCTTTACAACAAACATATCATTTTTAATTCTGACAGGACTAATTGTTCGACTTATATCTTTCATTAAGCATTTTGTACTCCACTTAGTTATTATAATCTACTCTATAAATCCTAAACTTCTTTCTTTAATACCCAATATACATACTTTTCTTTGTAAATTTGATATCAAAGAGCTATCGATATTGAATGTACACGAAAATATTTATTTCTACCTGTAAGAGAAATTATAATACTATATATTAAAACGTATATTTTAATACTATATTGTTTTAAATTTTTAACAGAAAACGTATGAAAACTATTATTTTTAGTGCATAAATAAAAATTTTCTGATATTTATCATTTTTTGTTTTAAATAACATTACAAAAGAGCTTTATATTCACGTATACATACAAATGTAGATATGCCAGAAAATTTCTATACATATGTATTAAAAACTATGACTAAGAATGAGCGTACGGTACGATCTTTTATCGACTCACATACGAGAATAATACTTATACGAGAGATTTTGAGATATCTCCGGTATCATCATCCAAAAAGAGCGGAAAGCGAAGAAAGGAAAATCGAGGGCATAGTAGGAAAAGAAATCTTTGCTCCTTTCGGGAATGTAAATTTCAAGCAAATCTCGTGGCACTTACGTATTCCATCTTTGTCGCAATAATTTAATTAAAATCCTGCTTCACGTTAGAACTGCCGTGGAATTGTTCCGAAAAAGCTATAAAGCGTTCCTCTCCGTTTTTTTTTTGCACAGCCTCGTAATCGATTAAGAAATATCGCGGCACAATATCGTTAATTTTTCTTTCAATAATAATACATTATTTACGTTAAATCAACTAGACATCCGAATCTAAAGCGTTACAGTTATAAAAGACGTTATTAAATAACGTATTAAATTTAACCCCGAGAGACTTTTACATATGCAAAATTTCTTAGCTCTTTAAACGATTCTGGCAGCAAGATTTACAATATTTGCACAATCTCTCCAAAACGTATTGTACGAATGCAGTGGATTATATACAAATTGTGAAAAAAATGATGTAGAGAGAAATAAAATTTACAAATAGTTTGTCTATAGAGACATGTCGCAATAAATTCGTTACCGGTTGGTTTTCGGAAAACGATTTATCGAAAACGATTACAACTCGCGTCTAAATCGTAGATAAAAGAAACTTTATAACATAGGACTAATATATAATAATAATTCACTTTCCAAACACTTACCTAATGTCCTCGCTGAGCGTTTCGTCTCCCCTGGTCCAAACGACAGACTCGTTCAATGATTCTAGCACGTTCCTCGCCTCACATCTGAGTCTGAGAACACTGCCCGCCTTTAAATGTCTCTCTTTGGAAACTATACGCCCGGAATCGTCGCTGATCGTCAGAGTTGGTGCTGCAACACAAATATAGAATACGTATGCACAAACAGTCGTGTTCAGATTTTCTCGAAATACTCTTGTGCGCGAGCATTAATTAAAAGAATACATTTCAAATAAAACATTTGCATAATAAAAAAATAAAATAACAAAAACATGATTGTTTATTAATAAACGATATTTATGTATTATTAATGATATATATTTTTTAAATCAATATGTTCTGTATATAATTAAAACTCGAATAAATTAAATAAAAAATAAAATCCATTAGCGTGCCAAAGTCTGTTTAAAAATCCTGCAATTGAATTTTAAAAAACGTTGAATTCAATAGAAGGCGAGAACTCGCGAGGAACCCCACGTAAGGAATGTTAGTAGAACTACTTATGTGATGCCAACGTTTTCTTATCCCTTTAATCGCTAAATCTAATGATACGTTGGTAAAAAGAGAGATGACATTTAAAGAAACAAGTTGACATTGATCATCAATGATTCTAGATCTTAATTTCTCAACGAGTTTGAAGTTGTTAAAAATGTAGCTTCGAGCTTTTGGAATACCGTTGAAGATGACGCCGTGCAAAAAGGCTGCAAAGAAATAAAGAGAGCTATTTATAAAGGAAACGATTATTCTCAGGGAACAATTGGTCTTATGGATCTTAGGTAGACCATACGCCCGCGGCAGTACGGAGGAATGACTTCATTGTAGAAGCAGAAATGTAATCTCATTTCTTCCAGATGGACGCATAGATTTTACTATTTTGACCACATCTTCCTCTTTGTGCGGGCTATACACATTGACTTGTTATCCACAAAGTGTACTTGACCTGTGTCATATGATTTACTCCCCGATTGACACGATTGGGTTACCATACGCTCGTGAACTCACACAGGGGACGGGCGGATTACGTCTTTTGCTTTATTGTTGGCACAATTTATCATAAAATTACGTACTGCAGACACGTCAATGGCCATCGTTAAGGTGAGCGCTCTTGCGGGAAACGTTATGTCTTTATGCTGATGTAGTATATTTTTACGGATATTAACATGTAAACTACCACCTGTTCAAAATTTATCACACTAGGATGTATGGCTCTCAGGGGACCTCTATCCAATATACGATGTTAGAAATTGCGTTACATATAGTCTTGCGTACTACATTGTAAGGTACTATTGTACGAATGATTTTTATGTTTCCACACTTTTGTGTTACTCACTACGCTTTTTCTCTTTAATACAATACATTTTAAAAAATCTGAAAAAGATTGAAACGTCTGGACCAACATTATTGTATACTATGTAATATTATCTATGTAATATATCAACAACATTTGTTTGTTTACGTCACAAGTACCGTATCAAGTGGCTTTATGCATGTTTTTAAATTGAATTGACTTCTTATTGTGACTTCTAATTGAGCCTCTGTTACTTCTAATTTTTAACAATTTATGAAAATATAAAATTATATAATCTAACAGCAACATTTGTTTACTTACGTCATAAGTACTGTGTTTAGGCTCAAAGTGGCCCTACGCATGTTTTTAAATTGGATTGACTTTTTATGAGCCTCCGTCACTTTTAATTTTTAACAATTTATGAATCGTAAGATTATAAAATCTATGCGACTATCACCAAACTCTTAATCTTTGCATAATATATAAATTGCCTTATATGTTATATAATAACTTTTTAAATAATTGAATAAGTATTTGAACATTTTGAATATTTATATATTAAACTCTTGTGACTTTTTTCTATTATTTTATTCTTGTAATGCTGTTTTTTAATTTATTTCAGGCAAACCGTATAACCAAGCAATCCGGTTTTAATAAAGAATTATTTTGAATATTTTGAATAATTTAGCACTGCTGTTTTTGTTTTTCCCGAAAATGTCAATAGAATGAAGTAATGCAGGATTCAATAATATTTTGGTTCAAATGGCGATATAAACGTAAAATATATACCAAATATGTCGAACAGAGATAGGATAAAAACGTATCAATATGCTTGCTCACACAAACGTAAACAAAAAAACATAAAAAGAAGATTCACTGCAACCATACTTGCCTCTCGGATTCTTTATTCGAAAAATAAAAAGACTGTAAAGTCAACACCTGGAATTACCCAGTTTCGCTTCAGTTAGGCGAACGTGAAAGCAAAACGCATTAACCTGCGGTCACGTCGTATCATCCATATCGATGAAAGCTGTCGGCAAAATGCTCTTTCTCTTTCTGTTGCTGCACAGGATGTTCGCTCGCGTTCGCTTTTTCAAGCGAGGAAATCGGAAACGGATTGTTCGTGACCAGATGCGTAAAACGCATCTCGGAAATACGTGCACCGGTCCAGCTTTCCTCTTGGCGTTCGCGCAAGATCTACACTTTTGCGAAAATAGAGTCTCGCAAACGAAAGAATAGCGAGCGAGTCCGTTGTTAAAATTCAGTACAACCGCCCAACAGCGATTCTCAAGTCGGCTGCTATGCAAATTTTATGATACCACTCGCTCCATATCTTTCTCGTGTCTTCTCCGACCGTTTTTGTCCCCTCTACATATTACTTGTTCTTGTAAGTTACATGCTATGAGTGGCAATTGATGGTATTATACATATGACGCTTGAATGGTAATAGTAAAATTACGACTCGTCCTATATCCTAAGAATGTTTAAAAAGTTAATGACTTAAAATTTCAATACTTTCAAAGTAATAAAAGTTGAAAAATCTAAAATTTATTTAGAATTGAGAGATTTCTGAATCTCAGAGGTTTGAAACTTTTAGGATCTACTCAAATAATTTTAACATTTTTATCTTTCTAATTCATTTAATGATTATTTGTATATATGTGTATTGTTAGCTTATTCAATTAATTTTTTGTTATATTTTAATTAAATCTATTAGTTTTATTTAAATCTCACGTTGTAAAAGTTAAAAAATATACATATATCTGCGTTTTATAAGCACAATAATTAGCACTCTCATATAAAAGAATCCTATCTGTCTCTCGTTTATACATAAAATTTTTCAACACAATAAATTATGAATTATTTCCATGCGTAAAATTATATCAAATATTGAAAAATTCAACGTGAAATAATTATTTCAAAATACGAAATTGTTCGTTAAATTCTTTGTGTTGCATACGTAAATTCAAGAGTTTGAAATTGATTATATAATATTTGTCAGAAACAGCCAAAACGAAAAATTTTAATGGATATTAAAAGAAAATCTTTCGACAATTATTCGTAATATTAATAATTTTGCAATAAAAAATTGTGTAAAGGTTTCGTCGAGTTTTCTCTTCTGCATTTAAATGGACGGAATTCTTTGAGTACGTAACACAATACTTTTCTTTTATTAAAAATGTCTCGATCTAATTAATTCAAGAAATTTTTAATTTTACATATTTTTTCTATATTACTACGTTATATTATCGATGTCAATTGAATTATGAAAAAGACATAAAGAATGATACGAACAAATCAGTATAGCGTGAATAATCCGAAATTCAAAGTTCTACATGAATGAATCGCTTATCAGATGAAGATAACTTAATGCGATCGTATCTGTTACGTAAATACAAGTTACAGTAGGATGCTTTCAACGTACTTGCTGAAACACTCGAGCAATCTCTTGATTAATGTCCGCGATACAGAGGGGATGACGACACGGCGAAACCACTTAGAATGAAATGAAGCTGTCAAGCAGGAAGCTCGGTTCAATATAGGAGTGCTTTTGTGTCGGTAAAAGCGAGAATTTGAAAGTTAAAGGGACTCAGGAATGTGCTTTACTCGTCTGATGCATTCTCTCTTTAAAGATCAGCTGAACTTCACAATGGGCGTGATCTACGCAAATAATTTTGAAAGTATTGATTTATTGAGAGGTTTATTGAATTGGCTATTTAATAAATAATGTGCAAGCAATTATTTTTTAGACAGCTTTTTGCAAGCATTATTTATTAGACAGCTTTTTTTTCTACGTATATAAAAATCTATAAAAATTTAATATACCTAGAAAATCACAGAAGACAAAAATTTAAGCATTTATATATCTTTAAATTTTAAAATAAATAAATTTAAAGATATCAGTCTAAAATATTTTCATAATTTTATTACATAATTTTATTATTAGATCTATTAATTAGGGAATATATCTCACAAATTGCGATTTTAGCGAATAAATGCATTTTTCAAAAATACATGCATATATACATACATAATTTACGAATTTAATAATACCAAAAATTTTTTTTATCAGAAAGTGTTAAAACGGATAATTCTTATGAAATAATAATAATGAATAACTATTCTGGGAAAACACGTTATTGCAAAATATGTTTGATGAACAATGGGCACATTTAGTGCGAATATTACCGGGAGACACAGTAGGTGTCCTCGCTTAATAAGGTACATGGATAGATCACTTAAATGGGCGGGACAGACAATTCATCGTGCCACGAGAACTTATCAAAAATCCATGCCTGATTGATCACGACGTATTGCGGATAAATAATTGTTATAGATGCAATCGAGAATTTCTGCCAATGCTTTAATTACATTTTTTCTCGTATAGTGAGTGCAAAATATTTATTGATAATTTTAAATTTATTTCACAATTAGTATCAATACTTTTTTCTTTCTTTCTCCGTCTCTTGTATACAGTAATCATTTTTAATTAACATTAAAAATAATATTAATTTTAAATGTACTAATATTTGATGTCTTATACTAATCATTTAGAAGATTTGATTGAGTCTTAAAAAAATATTAATCATATTAATAGATTTCTCAATCTCTTGGCATGAAAATAACGGATCTAAATTAAAAATAAGCAAAGAAATCACATCTACTTTAACGATCACAATATGATTACATATACTACATACAACATTTTTTCCAAGCATAACGGGGTAATGGGCAAGTAATCACGTTTTCGATTCGTACATTAAATGCGAAAATCTAATTTTCGAGTTGTTGTTTAACTCTCGCATACCGAGCCCCGCAACTTCGGTTCGGTAAATAGTCTTCGT